CACGGGAGGTGGCACAGGGTGATTGTGGGGACATCCTGCACAAACGTCCCAGTGCTGGGACACAGCAGCACTCCCAGCCAGCATTTCACCGTGCTGGGCAGGCAATCCTCACCTGGCACCATCTGATGGATGCCCCCGAGGAAGAAGTAGGTGAGCAGGGGGAAGAAGGAGGAGTAGAGCCCGTTGACAGGAGGCAGATTGGCCAGGAGGGTGAAGGCCATCCCTGCAAAACACGAGGGGCACAGGCAGGGAAATACAGGGCTGGAGGGAGAGCTTGGGGTCGTCAGTAAAACACAAAATCCTCCCCACGGGGCACCAGCATCACCTGCAGGGCTTTACTCCAGCTGGCAAAGCGTGATTCCCTCTTGGACAGGCAGGGAGGGACTCTCTCACCTTGTGGCACTTGGATTGTGCCTGCACTGATCCCGCCGAGCACATCAGGCAGGATGTAATCCTTGATTTTGTACTTGGGGAGCCACGTCAGTATTGGGAACAGGTGGAAGAGGGTGAGCTTGAACCTGGAAGCGGAACATCTACAAGGGAGATAAAAAATGAAAGCAGATTTGAAAGGCGAAGAATTTGAAAATGAAAGAAGGGAGGAAACGAATGAGCTGGAAGTAAGGAATGATCTTTCTAGAAATGTCTCAACCTTTCTCCCTCACCACATTCTGAGCCTTCTCTTTTCTCTATTATAACCTTTCTTTACCTGAGGAGTGGAGATAATTTCCAAGAACATGATCAGCAGGGTTATTAACCTTTGTTTACATAATTATAAGCCTTTCTTTAAGGTGGTATTGGTTTCAAACAGAAAGCTGAGAAAAGGAAATCACAGCTGGAAAGCTTAAAAAAAATAATCCACATGTCCCTACATCACCAATTGTGCTTTTTCCACTATTAAAAAAAAAAACAAAACTTGGGAAACAGGACCCCAGATCCCAAATGCACTCAGTGCATCTACCAATTTCATTTTTTTCAGCCCAATTTGCGTTTCTCCCATACCTTTCATCCATCAAACCCCTGAAGATCACAGTTCCCCAGGATAAAAATGGGATCTGTATTCCCAGGTCTGAATTATCCCCCCCAGTTCCTGACTAAATCTGGTTTACATTCTACTGCATTCCCTGTTACCTGAAAAGGTTTCTCAGTTTCTCCCCAACGGGGTAAGTTCTGGTTTTCTTCTCAAACTCCTCGTCGAAGAGGCTGACAGAGTAGGCAGGACGTTCGATGGCATAACGAGGTCTGGCCTGGCTCATCTCTGGAGCATTTGGATTTTTCCCAAAAAAAAACCAAAAAACAAAAACAAAACAAAAAAATAAATAGCAAGAGCAAAGCCAAGAATGTGGCTGGAGTCGGCCCCAGCTGCGCTCTAAGAGAACGGACACCTCCAGCGTCTGGAGCCCTCCCCAGCTCCTCCACCCTAAATAGTTTCCCCGTGGCAGAGGCAGGACCGGGTGTGGCTTCTCCCCGCTCCGGGGGCTGCTGCTGCTCCCCGGCCCGGCGCTTTCGCGGCTCTTCGGCCGTGATGCTAATGAGCGCTGCTAATGAACGAGCGGCCCGGCTCGCCCGGCAGGCGGCCAGGGGTGCCCATCCCGGCTCCGGGAGTGCCTTTTTGCCCCGGGCGAGGCACTTGACCTTTCCCATGGCTCGGTTTCACCATCCGCGGCGTTGGCAAAGCTTTGGCAGCCTGGTTGATGCCGGCACCGGGATTGAGGGCTGGATCCCTTGCGAGGTGTTCCTGCCACACTGCCCAGCCTGCCCGGCATTCCAGAGCCTTCCCAATCCTCGCTGGCCGTGGGTGAGTGCCCGGGTTCCTCTAGGAAGTGATGCTCGGGGAGATAACTGTTGCTAACTCATGGCAGTGATGAAGATGCCAAAACATCCCGGCAGACCAGTCCTGCCCGGTATCTGGGTCTCACCAGAGGGATGATGAACTTCAGGCATCCCTGATTTTACCCAGATCTGCCTGGGGAGAGGGGAGAATCACCCCGAAGCGGCCGGGCGGGGAGGGGAGGGAGGAAGTGGTCGGATACACACCGCGGATCTCGGTAATTATTTCTGTTTTGGCGTGTATCTAAGCGGGTCATTGCCCAACGCAGGAGGAGAAGAGGGGGTGGGAAAAGCTGGTGATTCAGGCAGGAGAACGCATCGAGAAGCAGCATCCAGGTTGCTGAGAGTTAATGGAGTGATCTGGATGTGCCGGAGCCTCCCCTCCCCTCTCTGGGTGCTGCTGAAAGTCAGGGCACACCTGGACACCGGGATGGGCGAAATGTCCTTCCACAGGACCGGTGAGATGCCTCGGAGTGGAGGACAGGAGGGGATTGTAGCAGGACAGGGCAGGAAGGAAAGGATGATGCAGGGAGCCGAAACTTTGGGGAGAATTTAGGTCAACAGAATCATTATGCAAATAGCGGCTAATGGCTCTAGAAAGGGAGGTCATCACCCCCGCTCCTTTAGAGATCACAGCGGCCAGAGAGAGCAGCCTGCCCTAAAACTGCCCCTGCCGCGGGGTGTTTGTGATTCCAGCTCTGATCTGCGACCCCAGCCCACGGCTTTGGAGCACAGGGGAGACCCGTCCCTCTTCCTGCAGTGCCGGGTGCCCCATCCTGTGCCCTCTGCAGGGCATCCCTGCTGTTCCTTTTCCCCTGCAGGTTCCCCTCTAAGAGCAAGGACGAGCTTTGCCTTTGGATCATGGCGCTAACCAGTGTCCTGGGCTCTTCCCAGTCCCTCCTGCCAAAAGCCTGTCTGATAAACAGACATGGCTTTCCCACTTTTCCCGTGATCCTGTGTCTGTTCCCAGCCTTCCTCCCAGCCCCACAGCTCTGCTCGGAATTTCCAGTTCTCCTTGGTGAATATTTTGTAGGTCCACGCTCAGCAACAGCTTCTGAGGGCTGACAATCCCACCCCAGGTCCTGGTGGTGTCTCTGATCTCCATCCCTCCTGCCACCAGACAGACCCAAGCAGCCAATTAAACCCCAGCTCTTTAATGAAATTCCCCCGCTGAGTGAAAGTGCTGGCAATCAGGAAAAATAATAAACAGAGCAGGTATAGAGGGGAAAATATCCCCATGATTAAATTCCATCTTAAACAAACAGGCTCGTGATGTCAGCGTCCCGGACAGAGTCAAGTTCTTGACTTGGCTTATCACAGCCTTGCCCAGATCAAACAGCAGCTTAAACCTCTGAGATTTGGGCATTAAAGAGCACGAGGAGCTGCCTGGCTGCTCCTTGGACAAAAGGCAAATCCAGCTGGCCTGGTGCTGGTGGGATGAGCCCAGAGCAAGCTGCAGAGCTGGTTTAAACCCTGCAGCTGGGGCAGCAGCCCGGAGCAATTCCATGAGTGTGGAGGGGAGAGCCGAGTGCCAGTCAGCTGCTGCATTGCAGGGACCAGGTTTTTCAAGATCTCTCTTCCAGTCTGAGCATGGAAATAAAGGACAAAGTCTGGGAGAAGAGCTCCAAGAGCTCACGAGTTTTCAGGCAGCCCATCCCTGCAGTGGGTGATGCTCAGAAATGCAAAATTTGACCTCGCTGAGTACACAAATGGGATGTGATACTCAGAGCAAACAACACATGAGAGCAGAGCTGCTCTGCTCCAGCAACGTGATGTGGGTGACCAACATTGTCCCAGCAGGTCAGGAGCGTCCCCTCGGTCCAGACCTGGCTGATCCCAGCCCTGCCAGGAACAGCCAGGCTGTGCATGCCAGGCATGGACCTTTTCTCCCAGAGTTCATTCTGCAAACGCACTCACTGAGCTCTTATCTGCTGTCCCCGTGCTGGTGATAGCCGTGCTTGGGAAGAGGAAAGTCACATTGAGGTTCCTGGCTGGGGTTGATAGGAGCCATTGGCACAAAGCCACTTTCCTGCGCTGACGTAGGCACAGAACAGGAGCTCCAGTCCAAGGAATGAGTCAAAATTTGGTGGGAGAGCCATCTGATCCCTGCCTTAGGCGTGACACAAGGGCCCAAATAGATGGACGGATGTCCCGTTCAACCAGCTGCTTCTTAATTTTAGGGATTAAAAATCAGCGCTCTGGACATAACACTTCCTCCTTTGCCTGCCCCCTCTCCATCCCCCTTGCACGAGGCACACCCAGCCCTCCGTGCTGTTTGCTTCGGGACTGGGTTCAGAGGTCCAAGCTCTTCCCAATCCCGTGCGAATCTCCCTCCAAAACCCCTTCCTGGCCCCATTGCCCAAGAAAGGGCCATAAAAGCAGCTCCCCCCTTTCCCCCAGCCCAGGCCTGCTGCGAGAGCACAGGCACAGGTGCAAGGGTTTGGTTGCAACACCAGGACAAGGTCTTGACTCCTGTGCCCCCAGACCGGTGCCTTCAGCTCCCGCCTGGCTGCGGCTGCAGGTGCCACAGGAGCCCCGGGGCGGCGCAGGGAAAGGGCCCAGGTCCTGCAAGGTCAGCAGGGAAAGCCACCAGTTCCTCCCTGAGAGCTGCTCTTGGTGCCAGATGTGGCGGTGCCAGATGTGGCGGTGCCAGATGTGGCGGTGCCAGATGTGGCGGTGCCAGGCTCTGCAGCGCCAGGCGCTCCCCCTGGCTGAACTCTCCCTCACCCTCCTGCCACACACCCGCTCCCCTCTGCCTGAGGAGGAGGAGGTTCCTGCTGTCACTCAGCTCAGGTATTTCAGAAGATGTTGTATAATTCACCTCTGCCATCGGGCACTGGCACTCCCCGGTCACTCCCTGCAACTTCCTGGCATTGGGAACATGCCAGGACCGAGTCCAGCTGATGGACCATGCCAGGAACTGACTACCAAGGGATCCCAGAGTCTTCAGCTGGGCCATTTGGGCACAAATTCTTTTTCATGCTTAGAATTTGGTTGATTTAGGTTTGTTTTGGCTTTGGCTCTGGATGGTCACAGGCTTCACCTACAAATGAACTGATTCAGGAGGAAAAGCTGGTAGTGATAAAGGCACATCTGCAGTCCCACATTTCTGGCATGAGTATTTTGGGGAAAAAATAATTCTCAATAATCTGGGGAGGGGGAAGAGGCAGGGGCAGGGAAGCAGGGGTTGTATTCAGGGGGCTGATGCCATGCACTGGCTACACACCTTTGTCCCTGGGGTTTAACTTTTCCTTAACCTTTACCCATTAGAAATAGAAGAGGAAGACACCAGAAGAGCATATAAATCAGTTATGAAAAATATCCATGCTTCAGAAAAGGCAAAATGCCAGAATCCATAAAGTTCAGTCAAAACTTTGCATTTTCGAGTCCATTTTCCAGGAGGAACCACAGGGATGGTTGGAGGAATAGGAGCCAGAGGGAGAAGGGGGTGAAAGGAGGTGCTAACGGGCTCTGATGGATTTTGGGCAGGCATGGGATGGGTGTGCAGGGTCGGGAGGAGACATCTCTGCTTCCCTCCAGCCCCCACCTCCCATCCCACTGCCCTGGGCTGCCCCTCATCCCCTGTCGGAACTCAAAACATCCCTCAGACATTTTTGGAGGTTCCAGGCCCAGGTCAGAAGCATTTGAGACCCTGGCACAGCTGGAAACAGCTGTGATTTTGGGTTTGAGCCATGGAATCATTTACCAACCTTGCAGGAAGAACAAGAAGTCACAAAAGTTTAGATATTAGAGTAGAAGTAGTCACAAAGTAGAGGGAAGAATTTTTGAGTGTTGTACAGGGGGTTTTGGTTTTGTACATGGGGGTCAGAGGTTTAAGATGGATTTGGGATCTGGGCCTGCCCTGTCCTCCCTCTTTCTTCTTCCTTGCCTCCATGTTCTTGGTGATGTTGGCACTCCCAGATTGGTTTAGAGTACAAAATGCCATTTAATATAGGTAATAGGCATTGGGGAAAAACTGTAACCGTGTAACACGTAATGTACCATATAAAAGATAGAAAATCACCATTTAATATAGGTAATAGGCATTGGGGAAAAACTGTAACCATGTAACACGTAATGTACCATATAAAAGACAGCAGCAGCCCTGGCAGGAGAGAAGAAGCAGTCGGGGTCAGAGAGGATGTCAGGGTGTGTGTGTGCCTCTGCCTGGGCTGTGAGCAAACCACAGCAGCTCCAGAAGAAAATCTTTTAGATAACTTGCAATAAACTGCCTTGAGAGCCAACAACAGAGACTGCTGAGCCTTTCTTGGGAAGCATGGCTTGGAGGAGTTTTTCACCACACAAAGCCACTCCTGACCTAGGGTGGGCTTTGACAGTCCCCAAGGATCCCCCAGCCCACTGTCCCACTCCTGCACCTTCACCACGCAACACCAGGCATTAAACCAACGTTTTCTCTCCGCTCAGGTGCAATATTTGGGGT